CAAACTCAACCAGGTACGACCCCCCGTTGTTACTCGTAACAACGTAGGGTTGACCCTGCCCCCGACAACTTCTTTATCTCAAAAGAACTGTGAAAACCCATGTAAATCTTACCCAAAACATTTCTGTTCTTCTCAAAAGTCACTTGTCGAGTGTGTTCAGAATCAATACATTTCACAAACACATTCTTCACCTTGTTCTCGTCCGGTGCTAAATAGGCGATAATAAAAAGAAAAAACAAAAGCATTAACAAAAAGCTGAAAAGGAGGAGTTCCTTGTTTTCTGTGATTTTAATAATTTTAAAACGATTCCCAGGAGTGTGACGGCATACCTCCCGTTCGGACTGAGAGAGACAGACGAATATTTAGGATCAGAGAAAAGAACTTCCCTGGGTATAAGGCTGGCTACCGCCATTGGGAGCAGCATCAAAGCGGGAAGGAGCATTTCAGAATGGCAACAAAAAATCGGTATAGAACAATGAGAGAATACATCTATTCAAAGAGGTTGAACATGACTGATGTTGGCAGCAGCATTGTCAACTGTTGGAACAATCATCGTGCAAATGACTAACGCCTTCTGAATTTCCATGGAAAACAATGAAGAGGAAAAGTGTGGAGATCTCGAAATGGAAATGACGGCGGTTGAAATTCTTCTTACCTGGGACATGCCTGTGGGAAGTTGAGCGGGTTGTGATGGGGGAGCCGAGTGGGAAGGATGTAGCACCTTGCTCATCTCTACCAGGATCGACCGTACGTTGTGCATTGACCAACAGAGGATCATATTTCGGATTTCCGTAGTTTATCCCATTTCTGGTTTCCGTATATTGTGATTGTGGTAAGGGAGTGACTTCACTGACGTGACTGACGTGACCTGTCTGAGCAAGATCAAATAACTCCCACAACTGTTTCTTGCAACTTTTTCAATTTTTCCAATGAACAAATTACTAGGTGCTTTCAGAAGAAAAAAAACTATTATAGGACTACAAGTTGCTTCTCCGTCCAACTACGAACTTAAAGACACACTTCACCATGAGTCCAAGTGGATCAGCTCGTTAGATACGTTAATAAGTTCCATCACTGAACACATATTTTCCGCCCTCAAGCCCAAAAGTGCACCACAAAGCCGGTAGGAATTCCCCAAGACCGACTCTTTTTCTTCATTCGCACCACACCATTGTCTGTGCCCTCTCATCCGTTATGGTCTCTCGTCTATCCTATCCTCTCTCGCTTATGCTTTCTTCCCGTACTCAAAATCTCATCGTGTTAGCACAGCCGAATTACAGAATGAATAAGCAAATTTCTGCGATTCCGGCAGATTTTTTCATATTTTGTTCTCCACAGCTGGTCCGCTTCACACTTTTACTTTTATTTTAGTGTGTACAATCGCATCGATTTGGTCGTGTGCTGCGCCTTTAAGTAAAGCTATACGTATACGGTATACCCACTCTCACGTCCTTATAAGCAAGGTGATTCTTTCAACATTCCCCCGCGAATTTTACACCTCCTAAAGCACGCTACTATAGCCTACACACATTCGATGCATGAAGCTATAAATTTGATTTTTATAGAATTCGGCAATTTCTGCACGCAAAAATCCAAAACAACTAAGGGCGCTATCCCAAGATACGGGACATCCTCTAGGACTGAGCCTTGGAAGGGCCCGACATAGGAAAACATAAAGATGGCTCACACACCGCGGAACCTATCCTTCCCGCGGCTTACTTGTTAGATCCAGGAGATTTTTAACGTGGTTTCAAAGGTATTGCTCTCACAATGCCCCCGTATCTTGCGATAGCGCCCAACTAAGTGTTCATGAAAGGTACGAGAAGCCGATCAAATTTACAGTACTCTTCGTCTACTAACAACGCATTACATTAAAGCTTTATGATTTGCACATATACGCTGCACAATAGTGCATACAAAAAAGTATTTTGCTTCAATAAATAAGTACAACTGAAAAAAACAGGAACAAATTGCACAAATTCCCAAAACATAAGCAAACATGCACTACAACAATGAAAGAGCGAAAAAATACGCTCTTCTGCACGAGCCTCGACGAAGATCGAACCGCTTAGCATTGCTCGGCGTTCTCTCTACTCAGTCGGTTGTGGCGGGGTTTTATAAAGGAATCGTGGTGAAAATAGACAAGTCCGCGTTCATACTCGGCGAATTAGTTACCAGCTGCTCGAGTACTGACGGGGTCTAATTAT